AAATTATACTATGTATAAGTTAAACTTCATATAAATTATACCAAGTATAAATTACACTTAGTATAAACTATACAAAGTATAAGTTACACCGTTACACTGCGGATCGCTGCTAATTTCTTGAACTTTCCATGTGGCGCAGATCCGCGTAACATCATCAATGATTTTCACGGCACAGCCATGAAAAATGAGAGCAGTAATCCCGCACCCGTGATAAAAATAGTTTGCTATTTTTAGCATCGTCTCAAAATTAATCTGGGACAAGTTTACTTATTTTTATCTTTTTAAAATATTTATTTAAGTTATGCGTGTTAACCGCGTTTTTTTTGGTTTTTTTTCTTGTAAAAAAATAAAAAAATAAAATATTCTAAGTCTGTGCTTTTTTTTATTTTTTTCTTTCTTCATTTGAATATTTTATATATTTTATGTATAATATATTATGTTTTTTTAACAAAAATATTTTTTTATAAATATTTCAAATATTTCTAACGAAAAATACCTTTTATTTAATCAGTTTCATTGTAATAAAAGAGAAAATTTTATATTTAATAAAGAAAAAAATATATATAATATAAATAAATCAAAACACGAAAATAAAAGTATCTTTGAGTTTTTTTTAAATAAATAAATCGTGTGTTATAAAATTATTACATTTTTACTTATAGAAATAAAAAAAAAAATTGAAAAAGCGCGCAACTAATAAATGATAAAAATAAAGTAAACTTGTCCCAGATTAATTTTGAGACGATGCTAAAAATAGTAAACTATTTTTATCACGGGTGCGGGATTACTGCTCGAAAAATGATATTCCAGTGGCTTAGTAAAATAACTTATTTATCTCCGGTATCCGTACATAAAGCCCTTTAATATATACTTATTTTGACTAATAATGATCTTTTTATTCCAATATTGCTTTTTACCCATCTTTTTAAATAAACACCACCCGTGAGAATATCAAGAAAAAAATTCACAAATTTTAACTAGGAACCGTGGGATAACTTGTATTAAATACATACGAAACTAAAAATCATAATAATGTTTACAAATTGTTTAATTTGCTAACGAAGACTAGTATGGATTACTTTATGGTGAGAAAAAATTGTCAATCATAAGGCGCAGCACATATTTTTAGTTTAACTGACACCAAAAAATCTGCCCAAAAAATTCCGCACAGGCCGGCACTATGCAGTAACACGTGAATAAACAGTAGTGCGTGACAAATAGGATTTTGACTAACCGAAAAAAATCTAAGTCCCTCAGATACTTATAGAAAATGGAAACACAGAGGGACGTGACACGTGTGATGAATAAATTTTACTATGTGGATTAATTTTTTAGTACAGTGTGACATAGTACAAATCGTACAAATAACCTTAAATCGATATTTTTTTTTTTTAAAAAAAAAATTTTTTTACAAGAAATGATGAGAGGATATTCATTAGAAAAAGATTTAAGATTATTAATAAATAATCCAAAATATAGTGACATAGAAATTTTATGTGAGGATGGAAAGAAATTATATGGTTGTAAAGCAATTTTAGCAGCAAGATCCGAAGTATTTAACGGATTACTTTATAATGGAATGAAGGAAAGTTATGAAAACAAAATTACTTTTCCAAATATTAATTCTTTTGGTATGGAGATTATTATGGAATATATTTATACGGGATCAATTAAAGAAGAATTTTTAACAAAGGATAATATAACTGAAGCATTTTACGCCGCAGATTATTTTCAATTACCAGACCTTCAGGATTTTATTATAAAAGTTTTCAAAAATTTCAAAAATATGTTAGAAAAATATTTTTCTCCGGAAATATTGTCTATATTTGCAGGAAAAATGCCATTAACAGAAGATAATATTCTATTAAATTTATTGGTTAAAGCGGTAGCTAATATTCCATTAAATACAATTGAATTCGATCGATTATCTATTAAAGGTCTTCAATATCTTTTATATTGTACACATGAAAAAAAAATTCCTTTTGCAACCCCAGAATATGAAGTTTTTCGATATAGTGCTATCCTTGCAGCAAAACAAGTTTCTAACGATGCATATAAAGCTCTTATGGAACGGGTACCGACCTTAGAACAAATAGAAAACTCTGTACAAGTACTAGAGAATAAAATAATTGCTGATCATCAAAAAATTGCTAAAGAATTGGAACCTTTAATTGAATTTATTGATTTCAGACGAATTCAAGGTCTAATATTAGTTGATATTATTGAGCCACTAGAAATTGTTCCAACTAAAATTATTTTAAATGTATATCGATATAATACAAAATCAATTAATTCCGATAGAAATTATATTCGAGGAGTACCCATTTATTTCAATTATATTTGGGATGATACAGCATGTGGATCAAAACTTATTATTGAGGATAATGGAAAAGTTATTTATGCACGAAATGATCTTGATTTACTCCATAGTGTTAGAGCTAAAATGATATTAGAAAATAATTATATTTTTGAATGGGATGTTATTATTGAAAGAACTTGTAGTTGGTCTTGGGTTGGGGTATGTGCATCAGAAAATTTTGATTATGAAATTCCTGCAGGAAAACAATTTTCTGGATGGGTATTAGGTTCCAATGGTAATTGTCGTAGTTCTGGAGTTAATATAGGAAATTATTGCCCATCATTCGGAGATGGTACAAAAATTACTGTCCACTTAGATATGAATAAAAGAACTTGTGCTTTTACAGTCAACGGTACAAAGTATCCAGAAGTATCAACATGGGATAATTTACCATCAAAGCTTTATCCAGTAGTATCGTTGTATTACCCTGGTCGATTTCGAATTCAGCCTCATCAGAAAAGAATTTGATTGTAAAAAACCTTTTGATATTATTTACAACTATAATGAAAGATTTAAATTCGTGGTCAAATTACTAATATAGTCAGAAATCATAATTTAGTGTTCAAGTCTTTTTTCAAATTACCAGAATAAACTACGAAACATGATTGGTTAGGGCGTTTAATGTTTTATATTTTAATGTTAAAATAATGCATAAAAAATTAATTAATTAAAATGAAAAGATGACAATAATATTAAACATGAAATTTTCATTTTCTAAATTAAATAGATCGGAGATCTAGGTTAAAGGTGCTCGAAAATTAGATATACCGATAAATTAAAACTTAATATAATGACAAAATTTTACTATCCCACTATACGAGAGAACATAAGCATATCAGATTTTTCAATAATTTTTGACACTAACATTTGTTATATCGTAGTTTGAATGAAGAAAGGGTTGTATACCATTTTTTGCTCTTTAATTTTGTAAAAGTTAATTATAGCAAAAAATTGGCATTCAGAATCCAAGTTTTCACCCTAAGTAAACTTGCGGAAAAAGCAAAAATACGTATAGGAATCAATTTTAATGTCTGTGTGGTGGTTTTACTAAGTTTTATTTGAAAAATAAACACAAAAAATTTTCTCGTTAACGGATTATCATCTATTTTTGATAGTGTCACGTGATCAAATGATCAATTATTTGGTAGTAATAATGAAACTTTTTTCTCTTTAAATAGAAATTTAGAATTCTTAACTCGCTATTGAATGATTTATATGGTTCATCAAAATTTGAATTCATACAATTTTTTTTTTTCTTTAAAAAAAGGAAAGAAAAAAGAATACGATATAAAACTGCTAACAATAAAAAAGAAAAAAAAAACTTGTCGAAACAAAAAACAAATTTTGGTTATTTTTTGCTCATATATTTTATAAATTAATAAAGTAACATAATAATAAACAGCTTATTTTTATGGCTGATGAAATATTTAATCATATATGCAAATTTTATGGTACAATCATTAATACTTTTTGACCGCGTAAAGAAACCCTTTATCCAATCAAATGAGTCAATTAGAGAATGACCTTACACTGAAAAGCGTAAAAAGTTAGTGCTATAAGATAATATCATTCACGTTCAATTGTTTAAAAATAGTCGTCCACAAGTAATCACACTAGTCGAACTAAGCTATATTTATTAGGCCACACAAATTCAATTTTTCGGTTCACGTAACATTGAAATTTAAAATCGACCCGGGGACCCGGGGTTTATTGTTTATTAGTAAAAAAAGTTTATATATAAAATCGTGACATTTGATTGGTTGACTTTTAAAAGGGAGGAATTTATTTTCGCTCTAGAAGTTCTCAGCCGCGTAATAAACTTACCCGCAAATAAAATAAAAAACAAAAAAAAAAAAAAAATTTTTATATATAAACTTTTTTTTATTGAAATTTGAAAAAGTGACCCGGCCGGGTGAAGTGAACCGAAAATTCGAATTTGTGTGGCCTTAAATATTAAATTAATCAAACCACATTTTTGCGAGCGAATATGATTGTGATTAAAACAAAATCGTGAATGTGATTTTTGGCACATTTTTGTTTTAGGATAAGTTTTATTATTAATTTTCTTTTATTCTTTAGTTTTATAAATTTACTCTTTTACCATAATGTTTTATTATTAACCTAGTAATGTTGTATCACTCGAAATTCTAAGCTTAAAAAAAAATGATCTTTACAATGGACGGAGTTGCTATGGTATTATGGGTCATTATCCTACGTTCTATAAATTGCGTGTTAAAATAAATATTATTCTTACTTAAAAAGCCAACGAAAAATCCACCAAAAAGTAGAGTATTTCATACAGCTGTATTAAGTAAGTAATGTAGTCATTGATTATATTTCTATTTAATTAATTATTTTATTATTTTTAATATGCTAATTTAAATGTTTCACTTTTTTGGAATATTTAAAAGCAAACGATAAATGAATAATTATATTTGGCGGCGCTGATAATACTACGAAACATCCAGCAGAGACTTATTATGAAGTATTAGATGTGAATACATACCAATGGTATCATAGTAATAAAGATATATACATTGGAGCTCCTTATAAAGGCCATACGGTAACTTTAGCTGACGATCATATGCTTATTGCTTTCGGTAAATATAACTATTTTTTTATTTTTGTCCAGAACGAAAAATATGACTGTTTACTGTATAAATTTGTGTTACCCCTGTAACGACCTTTCACCTTCTTTCCTTTCAATTTTACGAATTGCTCTGCTTCTCTTCCTTTTTTCGAATATGTTACTGTCTGCACCACTTTCACTCCGATATATTTTTTTTTTACTTTGAACTTATAATTTACTATGATTAATATTTTTTTAGGGTTCGTTTATACAAAGGAAGGTAATGTTCTTAATGATGAAATCTTGATTTATAATATTGGTGATTATGCCGATTTTGATCAGGTAGAAAATTTAAGTCAATGTCTGTCAATCACCTTCGGAACCTCCTGCTGCTACAGAACCTCCTACTACGGAACCTTCTCCACATGAAAAATCTTTGGATTAGTCTTTTTAAGTTTGATTTGATAGTGTCACGTGATTGACGATCATGTCTATCAATGTCACGAATATTTGAATGTTTGTATGTCTGTATAAATAAAACAAGAAAAACGGCTGGCATTAATGTGGACAAAATGTCCCGGACATGAAATTATAGTGGACATGGACCGGACTGTCCGGTCCGGGACTGTCCAATGTCCGTGTCCATGTCCCATGACAACACTGAGTAGGTGTAGTGGAAAAATCTTACCACGCTACGGTGACTGCCGCGTTCGCGTTGTTTATATTTATACCTGATCTCTATTTGTCACGCCCACCCATTGCCCATTGGGTGTTGGGTGTTGCAACTGTTATATGTGTCACCATAAACGTATCTATATAGTGGCATTTCTTGCGCCACGCCGCCACCCGCAGCCGTCTTCAAAGATCGAAAACTCAGACTTTTTCACATGCCCACCTTTTTACTTCATAACAAAATTTACTATTGTACTGGCGCTTGATACTTTTTAAAAGAATTGTGAAATTTAAAACTTTTAACTCTTTTATAGTTAATGATCGACAAGAAAGTTGTTATTTTTATAATTTAGTGACATTTCGGACGCTCTAACGGTCCTGCTGCCTAATTAAATATATCCGGAACTAAAACCTGAAATTTGGTATCTGCATTTTGCATTAGTATTACACAAACAACTATATATACTCGAATAAAGGCGTTTTATTTACCTTATTTTTAGGAAAAAATTATTTAGTAATGGCTCAAAGTAACGATAAAGGTAAAAGCATATAACATGAGTATAGATATCTAATACAAATTGAAATTGCTCTAAATTTTTTTCAAACCAAATTTGCAACATAATGAAACTAGTTTCAAAAATTGAGAAAGATAAAGGTAAGAAAATTATTTAACAGCTTGCGAATTATAAACATAATTTAAATTTTTTAAACTATTTCTAAATATTATTTTACTATATTAGCTCGTAAGTAATAGGTTATCTTATAATCGGAATGATAATTAATTAAATTACTTATTTCTATTATTTTATATAACCAAATAATTCATTTTATTATTTAATATTATTATAGTTGGTAAGTTAATAGCTATTTTTTTTTTATTGCATTTTACATGATATCTTAAATAACTAAATTTTCTATTAATATAATTACGATACTAATATCATAGGAAGTAAGTAATTAATTTTATATTAATTTAAAAGTATTTAAAGTATTTATTTAATAATTTTAATAATATAGGGAGTATGTTTTTATTTAATTCCATTATATTTATATAATATTTACATATAATTTAAACTAACTAAATTCTTTATTTAAAAAATTATTCAAACATTTTAGAACGTAAGTAATTCTATTATATTTATACAATATTTACATATAATTTAAACTAACTAGATTCTTTATTTAAAAAATTATTCAAATATTTTAGAACGTAAGTAATTCTATTATATTTATATAATATTTACATATAATTTAAACTAACTAAATTCTTTATTTAAAAAATTATTCAAATATTTTAGATCGTAAGTAATTCTATTATATTTATATAATATTTACATATAATTTAAACTAACTAAATTCTTTATTTAAAAAATTATTCAAATATTTTAGATCGTAAGTAATTCTATTATATTTATATAATATTTACATATAATTTAAACTAACTAAATTCTTTATTTAAAAAATTATTCAAATATTTTAGATCGTAAGTAATTCTATTATATTTATATAATATTTACATATAATTTAAACTAACTAAATTCTTTATTTAAAAAATTATTCAAATATTTTAGATCGTAAGTAATTCTATTATATTTATATAATATTTACATATAATTTAAACTAACTAAATTCTTTATTTAAAAAATTATTCAAATATTTTAGATCGTAAGTAATTCTATTATATTTATATAATATTTACATATAATTTAAACTAACTAAATTCTTTATTTAAAAAATTATTCAAATATTTTAGATCGTAAGTAATTCTATTATATTTATATAATATTTACAT